TTCAGAAGCTGTCTCTGCTCCCGTTATCACGCAAAATCATCCAACCTAGTCAGTTGCTTTCATTGGGAATAACTAATCTCAATTCGCGGACCATAATGTTTTCCATACCTGTACTCGTATGCTGGAATGGGAAAGAAAATTATTTCTGAAGCACTGTCTCAAATTGTAGTACAAAGTTGGTCTGATTTTGATGTAGGCCTACAAGTGTGAATCAATAGGAAAAACTACTTGTGTGTGTACGAAGGACATGAGATGGAAGATTCATCTATACATTTAATCGTACTGTATACGAGCCAAACATTTCAATAAGACGTGCTTAGGTAAGAATTTTTGCGATGGTCCAAACAGGCCGGCTACTCAAAAGGTGATTCTAATACAATATCGATTATTTTGCCAATATCCTTTCCCATAAGGTCACACATTTATGTACAATTACAATTTCCATGCACTTTCACTTCATACTGAAGCCGTGTCCCCATTTCTTCTTCTGCTTCACAAAATCGCCATCATTTGTTTGCTATCTCTGTCCATCGCCATATTTTATCGTGCGATTTGTTAGATAGAGAAACCTACCGTTGTTCTTTGATGTTTAAGCGAAGCTGAAGCACATGCGCCAATACATGTTGCCATGGTTACAAGGCGGGAATGCGGGTGGTTTCCATAACAACCTCATGAGCTGAAGATGCATGCGCGCGCTCACGCTACCGATGTTCAAGTTACTAGACCTGCGTATTGTATGCTGCAGCACCACCAGGGGCTAGGGTAACCAACCAGTCTGCTTAGGAATGTGGCGAAGAGGGAAGGGAAAAGAGAAGGCTTGGAAAATGCGGATGTACTGAAAGGAAAAGGGGGGAAAACGACATGAAAATATTCAGGAAAGTAGACATCCAAAATCATGTGTCCGATCGGCAAAGGAAAAGGAGAATATTGTGATTCTTAACAGCATTGATCTTGACGCGGTTGGTCTTATGTGCAGAGGTAGGTAGACTACTAACCTGTCGGAAGAACATACTGCTTCCACGTTCAGGGTATCTACATACAAGTCCAGACGGCGTTACAATCCAAAAGACCAAAATCGACATCTTCACCGCCATGAATATCAATACTTGCATAGAACGATTTAACCAGTAACGTGTACTTTAAACTTCACTGATGGATTCTGCTGTACTTTTTCTGAATTAAACTTATATTATATAGACTTCGATTAACACAGCATAAACAGGAAAAAACAAGTAAAATTTTCTGCCTACTTAATAGAACGTACAACAAACTGTGTTCAATTTAATAGTGATATATGAGATCTACAAGTGTGTAGTTGATCCATGTCGTTAGGACAAATATTCTGCATGCTCAGCAATAGCATTAGACTATTCTAACTTTAATAAATTATTCTTTAAAAATATCCTTATACTGAATATTCATATGAATATCAAAACTATGCGCTTAGTCCACATTGTTCGGTATCGACAGTTTGCGGTGGGGTGTCTCGATGGAGCTGCAGTCGCTAACAGGCCCACTGCCCATCTCCAGATAATACATGAGTGAATGTGGGTCAGCGGCGGAATTTTACTGGCAGGGTAAAACGAATGACGCAGAAAAAACAAACTATTCGAATGCCACTTTGTCGTCCACAAATCCCTGGGTGCAAACTTAGGCCGACTGGCTGAGCTAAGGCACAGCCCATGTTGGATGGGAAGTTTAGTAACAAAATATCTGTCAATATTCATTAAAACTTCTGTTGGCCTATAGACTGAGCTATAGATGTTCAAAAAAATAGCAATTACGACAGATTTTTACAATTGCAAAATATAACGTTTGCCCATCTCTTCACATAAATGGTGAGCCAATCACTGACAGGCCTTGTCAGCAGGCTGTATTGTAACTGTTAGATATCGCATGCATTTATTGGTATAGCATGCCGTGATTAGCAGCGAGAACATTAAATAAGGGATAATGAAGAGTTCTGGAGAGACGTACCATTGTACTCACCGGGGCTGCCCAGGAAGACGGACGAATACAAGACGCCCCTGCGGGTGTCGTTCGCCGCCGCTCGCGCGTCCGCTGGCGAGGGCCATTCCCGCCGCGTCGGGCACCACTTCCCTGCAAACAAACAAATTAACAACGCTCTGTACAAACAAGAGAAGAGTCCGTCACCAGAACCCAGAACCAGAGAGAAACTGGCACGCGAGCTGCATATGAAAACACACATAAAAATCACACCAACTTGCAATTCAGCGGCCTAATATTTCCCTCAAAGACAAAAATGTATTGTGATAGTCTATAAACAGGTATCCTGGTGTTTAGTATTCCGCGTTGTATATGAAAGGTACCAGGTTCAAATCTCAGTCCTCAAGACTGCAGATTTTTCTCGCGTCTCCACGGCTCCACATGGCAAATTCCATAACAGAACATTAAAATAAACCACGATCGACAGCTTCCACATCCCTCCCGATTTATTATTCTTTAGTAATTACATCATTTCTATTCTGAGCTACTAACGTCGTTAAAATATATAAATAAATACATTTTTGTAAATGTTTCTTCACTTTTAACTGTAACTCATGCCACAGGGCACATTTATTTTTTCTGCATTCATAACCCGCGTCACTTCCAGAATTGCAACACAGCAAAATTAATAATACTCAACGCATGTAATTCAAGCACTCCATTTCCCCCCTTCATTTATTCAAATACTAACAGGGAAGTCCTTTAAATTGAAGGTTAATGTAAAATATTTCATGAACAGAACGTTCTTTTGAAAACCTGAACGTAAGTCTATCAGCCTAATTACAGTTGTGCCTATTCAAAGTAACACAAAATAGGGGACTGCATACTTAGTACTTCAGGTAATCACATAAATAAGAAGAAATGAGAGATATGTAGCACGCATAAAATAAAATAAATGCAAGTACGGTGTAGTCGGAACACCTCAAGGTGTGAGACCATATGGGATTATTCGTAGGCGTAAACGAAAGGATAATATTAAAATTAGATTTAAGGAATAAATAGTGACAACGTGAACTTGGGTCATCTAGCTCAGGATAAAGTCCAGTGGCGGACTCTTTTAAATACGATAATAAACCTTTGGTTTACATAAAAGCAGGACAATTTCTTTGAGCATATTGACCACCATTAGCGTCTCATGGTGTCAGTTAATAGGTATTAACTCATACCGATTAATGTTCATACTTAACGGGCACTGCCAGCATGCTACAAAAGATGACAGATTCTATCATTCAATCCTATTAAAATTTACCCTACTATAGTACTAAATTCTGAATCATTAAACGCGTGACTACAGTACACTTAAAAAAAAAGAATACAACGTCGCGGGTTGCATGGGATGCATCGTCACTTTCAAGAATCCCTCGTCAGTCTTCACTTCGTGCGTTAATTGATTATAATATATTGGTTGCAAAGAGTGAATAAAGACAAGTTTAAAGACCGGTTCTGAAGAGTTCCAGGAAATCCAAGGCATTCCTAAACAATGAGTCAGCTTTTAAAAGGTGGTATCACCTCCTAACAAGACCAATGGCTATAATCGGAGAACACGTAACATTGATGGACAATGCCCATACGAATCTAAAACAACGTACGACAAATCTGTATTCAGCAACGAAAGTCTCAAATTAAACCTTCATACCATAATCGAGTAAGTGATAAACTTAGTAGGATTTGAGGTTTTCACGGCGGTGAGTCGGCAGATCGCTGTCTTCTGGGTTATTGCGCCGTTTAGTCTGGTAGAAGTTTACAAACATTTCAGAAGTCCTTGCCGAAACGTCAGTAAACTTCTACAAGACTACACAGAGCAGCATTATATTATACCGATCTCGTAGAGCCATCTAACATATACGGCATAACGAGAGATGGATTCGGGTGACTGGTCGCCATTACACTGCGTTCATGTTATAATTTCAATATTGAACCCAAGACATATTGAACAGTACGCTAACAACTAGACCACGGGAACGGTTCTATGTTAATGTATTTCCGGAAGTATATTTTGTAAATTAATTATAACGCAAATAACGTTTAATGAACTGTGCATTCCTGTGCTGTTCACTCTTGTTAAAATAAATAAATATTCTCTACCTTCCAAAATTCTCAAACTCAACAACTTTCCGACACAAACTGAGGGCTAAAGTAGTTTTAATTTAAAAGGATAAATATAACTTAACATTTCAACTTCATTTGCTTTGTTGCGGTTACCTTCAGACGTTTGATTCTTGTAAGATGGCTGTGGATCTATCATTTATCTTCTCGCATAGTAATTATACCAGAGCTCTTTGTAATGTTCGACACATTCCAGCTCTTTTTAATTTTAATAATTACGCTTTTCAAATGTTAATCTAAAACGTTATTTATATGTGTATATTGCTTTCCTTTGTGGCTACAAGATAATTAGACCTTTGTCAGTCTGTCTTCTGTACTTGTGTGTTTCTAGCAGTGCTATAAAACGTTATGTTCGCCTCGTTTCTTTATTACGATTGGAACCCACAGCTGTGTGATTGTTAAGTAAAAGTATCATTACAATGGGCGGTACGACGTTCACTTGTCCTCACATCTCGTAATACGGTTCAAAGAAGCCGGATGGCTACAAACCGACTATTATACTGTTATCAAACATATGCCAGAAATATTCAGCAACATCAGGTTTGTCGTTTTTATAAACGAATCATCTAACATATATATAATTTTAAAATGTAATAATTAGTTTTTTATCCAACGCATCTATGTCACAGTTTGCGTGTGCTTTTTGTCTTGACATTTTGTTATGAGAGAGCAGCTTACTGAAGACGAAGGAAAAAGTCGGCTATCCTAGAACTGTATACAAAGAAATGTAATGGTTACTAAAACCTGTAATCAAAACAAAGAAAAGCTTTCCTTTCCCATTACCCATAATAATCATATTATACCCTCTTTACTCAGACCTCAATAACAATCTTTGAGACGACACGTTAAATTTATAGCTTTTTAACTGCAATTTATAGAAGGAGATTGATGATAAACGGAAAGAATAAAAAACAAAAACAAAAAATACAATGTAGATCTATTGAGGCATATTGAAAGATCTGGGAGGGATTTAACAATCTTCAACGTTTTCGTCAGATATGTTTAGGAAGACATGCAGTTGCTATTTATACACATACATACACGAAGACTGCATTACGAAACTTGGACAGTTGCCTTATTCTTTATACATATCAACGCTATGACATTTTCAGTTACTGTCTTCTTGCGTCTTAAATTCAGAGAGAGTCGTTAATTTCCTAAGAAAACGGCAGGACCGACAGTGGAATGTCATGTGTGGGGCCCGGTACTCCGTGAAACGAACCTTGGAAACGGCTGGAAATTATGTGACAAGTCTAGACTGATGACTGACTGAATTATAACCATTAGATATCTCCTCTTCATCTCTAGCGTTATTACAAGGCCTCTAGTTAAAATTATCCACATTTTCCATGGTATTAATGGAAGACTTTTATAATTATTATTATTGCAAGGCAACATAATAAACTAAGCAACAACCATGTTCCATAGAAGTCAACGTTCCATGTAATTTTACATTTTAAACATTTATAATACTGATGCTCTTAACCCATCTTGATTTTACTCTTGGAAATTAAAAGAAGCGACATCGAGATCTATTAATATAATTATTTTTTTTTCCGGCACAACAGTGCACGATACTGCTTCAATTAGTAGCAAAGGAACGAGATAACCGTTATCGCTTATCGATTCAAGTTTAAAAGCTGAACACATAAGTCACAATACACTCATCCAAGAACAATTTTTAAAATATGCCAAGGAGGTCAATTTCGAGAAATTTAATTGCTACTATGCAAAAATGCGTTTTCCACAATCTTACGTCATATAATAAACCAGTTTTTCATGCTCCAAGAGCATAACAGCTTAGCTTTCTGTCTCTCTTTCTAAATTTCCCTGCAGGCCGCGCTGTTGAGATTACTCTGTTGTGCAAGTTCGAATGGGATCCGCAAAGCAACTGATGCTCATCGAGCGGCCTCGGGGACAATTTTTCACTAAGACAGTTTAAAAAAAGTGTACAGTCCACAACAAAAATAACATTGCATTACACAGTTGGTTAAAAAACCTCACGACTGTAATGCATAATTATGTACATTATTTACATATTTTCTCTTTTAATATATGGAACTGCTCTTTTAGATTGATACATGATCATTACTTGGATTTTAATAAACGATGCATAATAATAAAATGTAGAAAAATGCTAACAAGTTCAATAACTTGAATCTATTTGAATCAGAGATAGAATAGACTGTACTAAATAAACCAGAAAATTAAATTCCACACACACAACTTGCGAGGCTAAAACATGTGACCCAAAAGTTGTATCCAGACTTTCAATAAATAAAACACATTATAATAAACTAATCAGTTACATAAGTCATCACTGGCAATTAGGTAATCTAATGTAGGTGTTCAGAACGACCACCGTTACCTTCCTGGAACAGTTGTCAGCGCTGAGCAACTGACTGACAAGTTGCTGCTGTGTAAACATCTTTTTAGGTCAGTCTGTATCTGGAAACAGAGTTCTACAAATGCGTAAAAATTCTACGCACAGTAACAGAGAAGGGTATTTTATGCGTCCGATGGCTTTAAATGTGCGAACAGCAAACGAAAGTGCTTCACTAACTATTCTGCAGTAACAGAACTTGCGTTGGTTTCAGTCTGCAGAACGAAAATGTGGCGGAGTAGAATCCTTCCCCACACAGCTCCACTTTCGTCTCCTCACGGTGCCTACCATATAACCCCGATGCCATCAACCTGAAAACAAGCCTCACACCCCAGCCCTACCGTTCATCACTCCTATCCCAAGATCACCCTCACTCGAAACACCCATTTTCTCGCCTGAGATGTCTCGTACGTGTGCCATTATACATCATTTCCTGGCTTGGAAGGGAAAAGGTAAGACCAAGATTACATCCTAAAAAAATAATGGTCTCCAGACTCATTTTAACACCCAATTCATTTGCAAGTGCTCTAAACGATCTTGAGGAGGGGGGGGGGGGGGGGGGGAGAGAGCAGAGGAAGGTTTTTACTAAGCAGACCTATATTGT